TCAGGTATAAGGGATACTCCTAGCTCAGGTAAGGGATACTCGCAGTTCAGGTAAGGGATACTCCTAGTTCAGGTAGGGGATACTCCTAGTTCAGGGGTGATATATTCTATTTTCTTTTTAAAAAATCTGGACATTTAATAATGACTGATTAATTTGAGTCTAGACCCAAGTGTAGCAGAGCCTGGCATGAGATTAGGCAACAGGTCATGCAATGAGACATACGTACGGTATTATCCCTATCACGTACCTGAAGTAGTTATGCTATATAAAGTAAAGTGACTGTGTTGTTTTAGGAGCGGCAAGGTGAAGGATTGAAGGAAATCCCCAGTACAATCAGCACACTGTATGTCAATATTATCCAGAATGTCATGGGACAAACACCTGATTTAACTGTACTGAAGGCAGTTTGTGAGTTCCTGATAGCCATTCATCCTACAGAAGACACTACCAGTCTACATTCACCCAACAGGTTTTATTTGATGGAATACGAGTTTGATTTTGGTAAGACGATGAACTGTTTTATAACTTTATGAATTAGAGCCACCACCAAGGAACGCGTGTTCTTGAGTAGCAAACACCGCGAAGGAGTATAAAACCAAACCAAGTTTTTAAATTTGTTTAAAATAATATCATCTGAGCTTGAAGTTTTGGTGTTTGGGTTGTGCGTGGGAGAGCCCGAGGTATCTTCTCCAGGAAAATAAATTTTATATTCTCGGGGAGGCTATTACTCCGCTGTGTATTCATGCGGCACCCAGTGATGTTTCATTTACAAAACATCATAATACAGTCGTTTTTCATTCTCTTACAGGATATCCTACTCCAGCGGTAACCCGACTGCCACTTTCACCGTCGTCTTTCCAACGCGACTCGTTACTCATGGCAAAGAAACTAAGCTCGCCTTCCAGTCCTTATGACAGCACTTTAGTTGAACCCAAACCAACCCATTCTGATGATATTTTACTAGAGAATCTTGAAACCTCTGAAAGCACTTTACGGCTTGGTAGAAATGGAACGCTTATCGGGGAAGACAGAAAGGAGGGCGAGAAGGAGAGAATTGGGGGATCAATTTCCGAACAGAAGGATAAAGGAGAAGATAATGAAGGAAAATGCGTTCAAGACATGACAATAGGACAAAAAGGAGATAAATATGAAGCAATTAAAGAGGAGTCACCTGATGTGTCTGTTCCTTGTACTACACTGTCTGCTGAATACCTTGAATTTCCCGCTCATTCGTCACCACAAGCTATTGCCCCTCATTTCGCCAGCTGTCCTCCCCCTTCTAAACATCGTAAACTAACCGTCCAGATTCCCCATCACCCAGCTTCATCTAGCGTCAAGCCATGCCTTGGATCTGCTGACGGAAGTAGTATTCTCCTTCAAGGAAGTCCTCTAAGAGAGTGGAAAAGTTCAGTATCTAGTCCCTCTACTCCACAGACGCCTCCTACACCACATACTCCTCATACTCCAGTAGAATCGTACAGGGGTCCTGGTAGTAAACCCTTGTCTATTGGTATACACAGTAACACGCCTCAGAGTCGTATGTCCAGTGTCGACGTGATGGAGTATGACTTCATTAATGAGTCGGACTTCAGTTCTCTTAAAAGCAGGTAATATTGATAATACCAGATTTGCAACTTTTAGTACTGTTGTGGATGTGGATGTGGCCGTTGCTGTTGTTTCTGCTGTTGCTGTTGTTGTTTCTGCTGCTATGCTGTTGTTGTTGTT